TATAAATATATATATATATATATATATATATATATAAACATATATGAATATTTGGATTGAAGTATACTTATATCATAGTATAGTGTAAAACAAAATACGTACCATTGTGAGCAGGGTTGTGTAATATCCTGGTCGCACTGAGACACGCCTGACCTGGCGAGTGCATATGCCAGTTTACGGGGTTCAAGAACACAAACACCATACCACTCAGTAGCGAGAGGGTGGCGGGTGGTATTCTATCCCAACCTACGCGCAGTATTTCGATCACCAACAGTAGCAGACCCTGTGTAATCATGCAAAGGTAAGCCAACTGAGAATAGCTACAGGTGTTTGTGTACAGTGTATAGACGATGGTGATATGTGTTAGAGAGAGAATGGACAAGAACCATGCACCTTGACCGTTCTGTGTAGCTATATGTGTACAATATACAAGTATAGAGAGTGATCAGAGTTATTCTGTTCTATATACTCTCAGTATCCCGTACACAACTACATCACAAGCCATATGGGAATCATAGAAAGATATCTGCGTAAGATGTATTTATAAATGTACCTTTATAGTGTAGAGAAAAAGTCGGTTTTGAATGCGAGAGGGAATATATATCCGAACATACACCCTAGAAATTCATATATAGGGGTACGTGTGCAGTAGTAGTGAGCGACGAATCTTGTCTGTATCGGACTATGAACAAAGCCTCGATAGATGACATCGGATAACCCTGTAAAATATGTATCAGCAATAATCTGGCTGCGTACTGGGTAGACATTTAGTAAGCTCATACAGCACCCCCCCCTTACACAATTTCGTGCTATCCATTTCCCGGGGATGTATCTCCAACGATGCATACGAGTGCAAAATAGCTTCAAAATCCAAGTCCATTTCTACTATAGCGAGCGGAAATATTAGGCCGCGAAGAATCGATATGATGACAGTCAATGCTACGATGCCAACCCAAAGCCACGGTGTGTATGTGTATATGGTTCGGCTAGCAGTAGTGGATTACCAGCTGACAAGGACATGATGCACAAAGAAGGACATCTGCATAGTTTTTCATGTGGCATATAACCTCAATTATAGTGACAAAATATGATGCATGCATACGAACGAATAGGATTAAAAGCAGTGAAATTTTTGCACCGTCCAGCATGGCTATATTCACGTTTAACAACGGTATGCATAAGTGACCGTTAAGTGAATTCATGGGGTTTAGGGTTGATATAAAGCTCACCATATTGCCACGTCTGCCGCCGCCACCTCCTGGTATGCCTCTGTGTCTGAAGCCACCCCCAGCACCGTGCCTGGGAGCACTGCGCATCATGCGCCCTAGTCCCCTCATCAATATGTTATACTTATGTATACATATATGTATATATAAAAATATTACAGCTATCTAATTAAAAACTCCTGGGGGGACAGGTAGCCTGTGCCTGCAGTCTGTAGCAGATGTGATATTTGTCCATCTCTTTATCTTAACAATTTGATATTTGTCCCTCTCTTTATCTTAATAATTTGATATTTGTCCTTCTCTTTATCATAATAATTTGATATTTGTCCCTCTCTTTATCATAATAATTTGATATTTGTCCCTCTCTTTATCATAATAATTTGATATTTGTCCTCTCTTTATCATAATAATTGATATTTGTCCCTCTCTTTATCTATAATAATTGATATTTGTCCCTCTCTTATCTATAATAATTTGATTATTGTCCCTCTCTTT